ACATTATTCTTTTTCAATTTTTAACATTATCTGTTATGACTAATAATGATAATTTAATAGTATTATTAATTATTATCAAACAATAATTCATAATTTAAAATTTAATTATTATTTAATTTCTAACGCTAATTAATAATGAAAAAGTAATATTCATTAGCAATTGTTTTGGGCGAACAAACCCGCGTCTTAGGCACCTAAGCTATTGTTTCTACGAGTTTCCTTGAGTTGTGCAAAGAATTCAATTAGGGAAGGACGAGGCGTCTTGTGAGACGGCTTATGTCGCACCACCACCCGGATACTTGAAGGGGCGCATGAGATGAGCTGGAAATGATCAAGGACACGGAAAAGGGGGGAGCAGGCGGCCTAAGGCGCACGAGTAGACGCGCAGGGAACTCCAGGCGGCCTTTAAGCCCAACGCCGACCCCTTTCTATTTTCAGAAAAACTTACTCTCATAAAGGGTTTTCTTGCATTTACTCCCCTCCTAGGTCAAATAGTTCAAAGTGGAAAGTCAACCTTCGAAGTCTTCGTCTCATTGGTTGTTTTTGCTTGGTTTCTAGATTTTCGCTAAAAACTTAGCATGTGAATTCGCATTTAGTTACTAAGCTTTATTTATACCGAACCTTGATATTTTACATCTTTATGGAATTACACTTGAGTATTAGGCTTAACGTTTAGTGAGATCATGACCTATAGATGATATTTGACCTTAAAAATGATTTTAGGGCTTAAATGTGGATGATGATTATATATGTATGCATTTAAATCCGTAATGGGATATTATATGCTTTGCGTAGTGAATAATATTTGTGAACTTATTTTGAGGAGAATCATTTTACACGATGTCTTAATTTATATGTCAGTATAAATGAGGAGTTGTGTTTGGATAAATGAGTTATGAATATACATTTGAATATTTTTGGGGAATACATGTTATAAAGGCACTAAGGTTCAAGAGTCCTTGAGGTGAAACTCTTTAGAGTAGACACTAAAGGTAGAGATGCGGGTTTGGGGTGACGTTGTGAATGAGGTGTGCACTAAAACTGTGAATCTGACGTGTAGTCCCAATAACATCATGGTGACAATATTTTAGTGTTCTTGCCACCTTGATGGAAACGGGTCTCCCCCATCAACGAGAAATGTTCTTTGTGAATAATGTCTAGGTTAGGACAACTCTGTTATGGTGCATGGTATTATACCACTATTGCATATTGGGTAACATTTGAATTATTACTCTTAACTACCGTGTGAATTATTTTGCATGATCTCACTAAGCGTTAAACCTAATACTTGTTCTTGATTATGTGGTGGTTTTCAGGTATCACTAGTGGTGGATCTAAGACAGTCTGAGACGTTTGGTTGGTGCTACTAGAAGCATCAAGGGTGGAGATTTAGAAGAAGCACTTAAGTGGAGATTGACTTTTTGAGACATTATAACACTCAACTGTAATCTAGTTATTATAAGATTGCATTATTAGGTAGTTATTTATGTTTCAACTATTAATTATTGTGCTTAGCAAACTTTCTCTTCATGGGTTTAAGTTGTTTCTATTTATGGAAATTTTTAGTTGTACAAAAAGTGTTTTCTTGTTATAAACTGTTAGGTTGTTATAGACATTAAGAGCATCTCCAACAAATTTTCTTAAATGAAGAAAATAGAGATTTTGGAGATTTAGACATGATTTTTGCTCCAATATATTCTCTAAAACCTTTCTCCAAAATGGAGAAAGTAGGAGAGAGCGGAAAAATCTCCAAATTTTGGGGAACACCCAAAAAATGATTACAATGAGGGAGAAATGTTATTAATATATTTCCATCAATAGGAAATTTTGAAATTAAATATTTAATGAGAAAAATATTTTATTAAATGAAAGGAATATTTAATAATATAATTTGTGGCGTAATCTTTAAAATGAAGAATCCAATATTGAATGTATTTTTGTTTTAAAGATTTTTAGGTTTCATTCTTTATTTTGGAGAAAATTTGAATAATCTATTGGGTTGCATATTATCGAACATATGTGTGTGCTTTTGTTGAAGACTCGAATTCAATCGATCAACGATCCTCCGTACCCACCGACCACGTCAATAGGCACTATTTCAGGTGGCGGTGGCATAATCTACTGTATATACATTAACGACTAGGACGAAGGTCTATCGTTGAACCATTGGCTAAGTTGTATGAGCTTGATAAAGTGAGGATAATCTTGTGAACAATGGAGAAAGTTACCTTTAGTATAGCGTCAGAACATAATAGAATAAGGATTCATATTTCATATTTGGCAGGACTTTTATGTGGAACAAACATGAACAGGGTGGAACAGGTCTGTTCCATTGAACAGAGTAGGATAATGTGGGACAAACTTATATTTACCGATATAACCTCCAAACAAAACATAATTCTCTTATAAAACATCAAAGAGGTCTCTATTTTACATTTTATTCATTCTTTAAATTTTATTTATTGTATTTTATGTTTTTTCTAACTTTCATTTTACTGTCCTCGAAATGTTATTATTTATACGGTTTTTATATTTTTATTAACTGATCTTAGTAAAAGGTGACGTCCTTTCTCGTTGGGCAAGGGCATTATGGGCCTCGTATTTCAAATAAGGACGATCGAACCGAAATAAGATCTAAAAAGCCAACCTCACGTTCAATCCTTTGATCTCCTAGAGGTCAAATCGTGGCATGGGTCTTTATGTAATTTATTATATATTAATAATAAAAATACTAAGGAAAAATGATAAAAATTAAAATTAAAATCTACATAAACCTTTTATTTTGGTGTCATTTTAATTGTTTTGACGAAAACTTTCTAATGATATATTTTGCTATAAAAAACAATTATTTTATTATAATTTAATAAATTACATAAAATTAATCGAAATACATAAACAACTCATTAGGGTAAATTGGTCGTTTTCCTTTTTTTGTTCTGTCCAGTCCAGATCTGTCTATAACATATAGACTTACAAGCAGGATGCAATATTGCACCAGAAAAAATGGATGGTTGAGATCCTCAGAATCACATCCATTAGGAACAATGCAAAATATGTGCCAAAATAGTAGGAAACTGACCACATAAATATATGAGAGCATGCATGTTATACAACCCGATGGGCATTTTCCAATTTCAGAACGTTGTCCTTGTGATCTATCTGATAACAAAAACTGAAAAACAATTACCATATTGGCATCAGCCAAGCCACTGTTCGGCACGACGGGTATTGCCACCAACAGAATGACGTATACTTATCTTTTCGGTTGAGTACTTGTGTTGTAGCCACTCGAAAGCATTCACATCCAGCTTCCCAGAAACAGATTTTCCTTGCTTCCTTCGATTGTGTTGCTCTCTTATTGAACCCCATAGTTTCTCGATTGCATTCCTCTGTTTGGATGTAAATCGCCCAACATTGTCAAAAGCATGTTTCACAGTTATGTCTATCACTGTTTGACACCTGCAATCAAGAAACAACACGATTAATCAAAGAAACTTGGCCATGTTTAACAAATTTATAAACTATTTGTTAGCTAATAAGCTAGTTAACTGAAAATCTAAGTTGTTAGCTGATAAGCTAGTTGTTGGTTGATAGCCAGATAACAATGTAAAATGATCTAAAAAGACATGTTAAAAAATTATTGCTAATAAGAGAGAAATTCCCCGAATTAGCTTTTCAAAAAGCCAGTTTATAGCTAATCAAACGGAGCTTTTTCGATAAGCTCACAAAATAAGGAGCTTATGGTTGCCAAACACGGCATAATTTCCAACTTCAAAACTGATATTTTCCAAACTGTAGTCCGAAATGTTGCTTACCGATTGTAAAGATACATAAAATTTTGACTTCAATACGGTTATAACTTTGACCTCAAAAGTCAAAATGGAAAGATCAAAACATAATCGAGAAATAACTCTAACCATGGGATTTTATAACGCTTTGCAGCAATCTCTAAACAGAGAATCAATGCTTCTCTTTCTGATTTCAAGAATCTCTTAGCTTCTTCATCTTCTTCTTTTCTTATTTTAGATGCTGTTGCTTCATCATCTAATTTGGCTTTTACTTTTTCATCTTTCGTTGATGAATCTGGAATCAGAGCATCCAGTCCAAAGGGATCGGAAGACTCTTCCTTGGCACTTGATTCAGGTATATGATTCAAGGAAGCATGTTCTTCTGATTCATCTTTCAGGGCAGCAGCTTCTTCCATGTCATCATCCTTTGTTGCTACAGGAAGATTTGAGATGGCATCTTTGATTCTCCCACAAGCCTTGGAAAACTAAAGAGACAACAAAATGAAACAATCAAAAAAAGCAATTTTTGGTTGTCTTGTATTCAGGAACTGCCAGTATAATATCTAAAACTGCTAGATGGTACTCTCTTTGTTCATTAATAACTTGTACTTTGTTAGATAAGTGTCAAATAACCACCAATAATCGAAGAAGACTACTTCTAAGTTCCAGATATCAATCAAATGGAGGCGAAACAACCAATAGAAGATAAAAAGAGCATTCTGACGGTTGAATGAAGAAGAAGAAGCATGTGAGTGATTAGCATCCACACCATTAAGCAATTCTTTTCTAGACAACCAACATGCATGCCGAAATGCAAGAAAAAAACGCTTTGTTGGACGAAAAGAGTGAAAGAAACACTCTGGTTGACTGAAAATAGTGGGAAAAACACCCGAGTTAGCAACTGTAGTTTCTGTTGTTTGTTTTCTGGCCAAATAGAATTTTCTTGTTTTGCATCTTGTTGAATTCTAACTTTGCACCATCATTTTAGAATAACATCTCATTTTGCATCTAGCTTAATTTTTATAGTTATGTCAATTAATCATCACATGCAGTCGTGTTTGGGATGGTATACAAGGATGGCAAGAAGTTATAAAGTTGCCAAGAAAAGGAAATCAATTGATAGGAAGACACAATCAAAGATACAGGGGAAGCCATTCTATGTGCTGGGCATGGTCGTGCAGAACTGACAGAAAGTTATTGGAGACATGACACGATTGTGTAGTGTGATGTGGCAGACCTGTAATTTGTGTTTTGAGGAAAGGGTATTTCGAGTAAATTTAGGCAGACTGTTTATACCTCTTTTATCAGGGTTTCTTCATTTTTTTTTATTTTTTATCCATTTTAGACAGGGTCCTTCTTGTTCCTTGTTTTCTCTTATCATTTTTCTGTCATATTTGGATCAATTTGTGCTGAGTTTGCACTGGAACTTCATTGAAGAATTGCTTATTCAATTTGGAGATCCGTCATAGAGTACCTCTATCCCTTCTGTATGCTTTTATATTACATTGTTTTACATAACTTCCTCAATCATTTCATTGGTATGTTAATTTCTGCATTCATATTCTTCTCTATTGTATGATTGAGGTTTGTTAATTAATTTTATTGCTTATGTTTTGTTAGTACTCGTATTAGTTTAATTAGCTTCAAATTCACTTCTCCAGATTTTAGTTTCTTAATGTAGGTTGAATTGATATAAATTTTCATTTATTCGTCCAACTATTGATCCTAAGTTTTACTTAGGAAGTTGGGATTATGCTTATGTTTTATATATGCCAATGATAAAATTGCTTTATTGTGATTTGTAAGTGTTTGGATTAGATCTGTATTTGTTCCAGTGAAATACTTTTAACTAATTAGTTAATAGTATTGTCTAACTAGTTGTGTTAGGGGCTGTTTGGCAGTTGCTGAATGATTTAGTTCATAATAGTTAAGAGGTTAGAATGGCTAAGAGGATCAGAATGGTTAAGTGCTGAATGAAACAAGGTTGTTTGGTAATTGTTCTCTGAATGACAACAAATTACCATTTTAACCCTCAAGAAATACAATCAATTCTAAACGGATATATAGAAAAGATGCTGTTCTTCATATCAGTATCAATCCTCAAGAAATTGCAAAATGTCGGTAATCCAATCATGAAATTAGCAATAAACATCATCATTGTTACAAACATTAAATTAGCAATAAACACCATCAATTTCCAAAGAAAAATGCTAATCCCTAAACCAAACCCTAGACAGGAGAGGACGCGATGAGAAGCAGCGACTAGATGCAAACCCTAGACAGGAGAGGACGCGACGAGAGGCAGCGGCGGCGACKAGATGCAAACCCTAGACAGGAGAGGACGCAGCGACGAGAGGCAGCGGYGGCGACKAGATGCAAACCCTAGACAGGAGAGGACGCAGCGACGAGAGGCAGCGGCGGCGACTAGATGCAAACCCTAGACAGGAGAGGACGCAGCGACGAGAGGCAGCGGCGGCGACGAGAGGCAGCGGCGACGAACGACGGCGGCGACGAGGCGACGGCGATCGTAGGGTGGGGGGAGGGGCTGTGAGCGATGTGAGGAATGTTGGGAGAGAGGGCAAATATGGAAAAAGAGGAGTCTGAATGGTTTAGAGACCCCTTAGATGCAAAATGGTTAAGAGGGAAAATGTAACCATTCAGAGTCATTTTTTTTTTTTGCCAAACAGCCTTGACCTCTTAGCGATTAAGAGGTTGGCTCTTAATGTAACCATTAAGAGCCAAACAAACAGCCCCTTAGTTTAGGTTATTTAACTATGTTGATTAGAATCTAAAGGCGGTTGCTGCTACCCGAGCTACCCGTTTTAATGCCGGTTAATCGAATAATCATAATTACAATTTTTCACCAACGAAAGATGGGATGTGAATAGATGGTAATCATTTATCAATATAGTCAAAGTCTAAACTGAAGTTTGACTTTAATTTTGCCCAAAAAGTCAATGATTCTTGTTTCTCCGTGAAAATGGGTAGAAGTAAAAATTGGGAAAAGCAATTGTCATGCTCAAAGTTTTTAATCAGAAAGACTTTCTCACCTTGAAGAGGCTTTAATTGGCTTTAACTGGACAAATCCTTATGAACCTTGCCGCAAGGGATCCGAAATCAACATAAGGTGCTTTCAATTAGTGTATGTAGTTCAGATTACATATAGATTAGTGATTGTTTAAGTAGTTGATTATCTTAGTTTTCCCTTTACATGCTTGTTTTTTTGTTCTTAGATTAGTTAAAGTGTTTGAAAACACCAAACAAAATCATCATCCAATAGCTAGTTCGTAATCCTAGCGTCTTAGTGATTAGATCATTGCCTCCATGTGTTCAAACGTATGCGACAAAACCGTCTACATGCATTGAATCTTGAGAGCACATTACATCTCCACAAGCATGTTGCTTGTTCAAAAAAGTGACATCAAGTACAACAGTTTGGTATTTATACAGAATGGTAAAGAGGGCGTCTATGATCATCTATCATAGAAATGAAATAGAGAGAGATTTTAATCCCCCATGCTTTGTTAGCCCATACTGCTCCTGAAAGAATACCTAYGGTTAAAAAGATAAATCCTAGGCTAATCACACGATAACTCCAATAATCCAATTAAACTGGTGGACCAAATTTTGAAAGTGGACTTAGTTGTGACTTGTGAAGGTCCAAAATGTTAGTGGTACAATACTTGGAGAAGAGAGGGAGTACTTATTCCCCATATTATCTTAAGACTTAAGAGGGAGAAAACTGAAACAAAATTCTAATAGTGACCAAATTCTAATAGTGACCAAAACTGTTGGCGATGATTGCAAACAATAAGTCTAACTAAAAAACTTCTTCCTCCTTGCAGCAATTTGACACCCCTGCCATCCCAAAATTGGAGTCCATATTAGACTCTTGAGAATTTGAACTTAGAATTTCTCAAATACAATTTATTTGAATTCTTTAACATCCATCATTCTTAGCATCAAAAGTTGTGCTTGTAATATTTATAGCATGCTTTGATGTAGACATGTAGTCATAGACTTTTCACACAAGTGAAGTGAATGATATCATCTTGAACTTGAAATGTTACTCACTGACAATTAGAAGTCAAATAACTATAATATTTGGTATAAATAGTTTGAGAGAGCTCCTAGTTAATAGAACACAAAAGAATGACAGGAATAACAGGCTGAAACCCATAACCTATTGATAAGCATCAACTTACTTGATTCTTTGCACACAATTTTTTTTGACAAAAAGTATTTCGAAATAAGGAAATTCCCCCCAATCTTCTCTATATTTCTCTTTAGTTTTAACTCCCAAAAAGCCCAAAAGTCGAGTCTTTTTATGTAAATTTTAGACTTTTATCTTTATGGAGCTTAAATGTTTATTTGTTTATAAATGTTGATTGAAGGCTAGTCTCTTGTTTTGCAGAAATGTTGAGATAAGAAGTTGCAGGATGCTGCAGCATAGTCCGTAGGGTGATTTTTTTATGATAAGGACAACCTTTAAAGATTTGGCGCTGCAAAGAAAGATTCCTCCAGCAGTTTTTGGGCGTAAAAGCTGGAACTGTACTATGTTATCTCCCAAAAGATTGAAAGCATCATTTTGTGTACCTTGAACAACATTATAAATAATCTTCCGTTTCCTCTTGGTATGACTTCTCAGTTTAAGATTGTAATCAGAGGAAACATTAGAAGTTGTCTTAGGAAACTTCAAGTTTAATTTCCCTTTTATTGTGTATTTCCTCTTTATTAATTAACCTTTTAACCATTAAGTATTTATTTCTTGCAATTTCTATTTAGTTGTCGTAAATGCTTATTTCACTTTCTATTAAGTCAAAAATGCAAGAAACCCGAGCGATGATAGGTTAACAACCTTAGCTTGGGTGTGGGTGTGGGTGTGGGTGTGGGTGTGGGTGTGGGTGTGGGTGAAGTTAAGACGAAAACCTATTTTGATGGTGGAATTGTTAATCCATAACAAATCTTTCCAACCATTATTTCAAGGTTATATTGATAAAGAACACAATTCTTGACAAGTTGATCACTGTTAAAAATGTTAAAAGTGTGATGGACTTAGAGATAAGCCATCTTGAACATGTCAACTTGAATGATATGGAAGTATACTCGAAAGAGTTGCTTAGAACCAAGGAGACTTGTTTTCATTCCATATAGCTTATACAAGGGATAGATTGTATCATTTCGTAGACTTTACTCTATTTTAGAAATATTATAGTGTATGAATACGTGTTTTTCTCAACCTCAGTCGAGTGCCCTAAACAAACTAATGGTTGGATAAGATGAGTTATTCCCTGCAGTTCTGCCAGATTTATTTTAAGTCTTCATAGATCTCTACATTGTTGCTCCTTTTAATTATTTGTTCACACCTATAGGCATAATTAACCAACTCATAAACATTTCTTCAAATTCGTCATCTAAAATCATCTCTTTTACTAGACTTTTACTGAACCTTCAATCATGTTCTTGTGGATCGATACTTAGTATT